AATCTTTTACGATTATCACCTCATGGAGATCCATAGATCAAATACACCCTAACCTAAGCAGATCTATCGACCGATAACAAAAGTAACATGCAAATCAGCTCAAGTATAATCTAGTCTAGTAACTACGAATGTCACCTCAAATAATCAGGGAGCAAAACAACACCATTAGCATTTTTTGAAGTAATTAAACATAAATCCAGTTACCTAAACATATCGATATGCAATTACAACATATAAACAGCATGAGTAAATACGAAAAACAAAATTTCAGAAGCACAAACCTATACCTATAAGCAGAGAGATAGAGAGAACGAGAGAGGAGTCTAACCTGGAGAATAGCGAAAGGATAGCGAGTCCGAAAGAGCGAGAGACTGAAGAGAGGCAACGAGGAGCTTATAAATCAAGTTCGGGTGGCGTGGTGAGTTTAGGGTTTTTCATGGGCCGTTGGATTGAATGATCGACGATCCACAGATGCGATGCCTTTTTGGTCAGCCGCTTGGACAGTATCCCGCTTTCCCTGTACGTTTGTATTGCTTCCTCTAAAATTACCAAACACATCCTTATAGTTGTCACTAATTACCATGCGGGTCTCCCTTTTTAGTTTTCTTTTACTTGTTTCCCTTTTTATAAGTTTTAATCATCAATTTCCTTTTGAATGAAATGCCAATTTAAGTATTTAACCCTATAGTTTCTTCAATTGATTAATAAAATGTCTTTTGGGCAATGAGAGTAATCTTAAATAGGCCACTAAACTATACCAAATATATAATTGGGTCATCAAATTAAAAAAAAACAATTGTAATTAAATTTTTAAATAATTTAAAACTATGCAATTAACTTAAAATTGATTTTATTTATCTATTATTGATGACATGTCAGCTAATTTATTAAAATATTAATTTTTATATTTGTAATAATTTAATATTTTTTAAATAAATTAAACATTAGTCTTTGACTAGAAACGAAGGCAAGTTCTTCGTCTCTGGCGGGAAACAAAGGATTTTTATTTTCAATTTAAAATTTTAATTTTTAAAATAAATTAATCACTACATCAAAATAATTTTAAAATAAATTATCAAAATATAATTTTAAAATAAATTATCAAAATATGCAATTAAATCAATTTTTTAAATTATTTGGATAATAACCAAACATACCGGGTTCATATAATTTGATTACTATATGCTTGTAAAGTATAAACATTTTGATTTATATTCCAAGATGTTGAATGATCTAAAGAATTCTACAATGCCAATTTATTTTTAAGCTAAAGTTGAAATAACGAATGAATACTTTGGTGGATTTGGATTTTCATGTCATGGGTTATATATGTGTAGGTTTCTTAGCTTTAGCCATGTATAATATGATATTCAAGTCAAATTATTTGCCACTTAATTAGCTCTAGATTAAGCATTTTGTCTTGATGGGTCACATAAGATTGGGAATACACTACATGTGCACATGCACTTCAATTGTTTTGATGGAATTATTAGTGGTAAAGGAATATACATTGTCATGTAGAATCACATACAGGGACAGATCTACAGTGAGGGTAGTGAGGTCAGCTGTCCCCACTCATCCCACTCCCACCCCTTATATAATCCTTGTATGTATATGTGTATATATAGTACAAGTTTTAGTATAACTGTTAGAAAATAGAGAAATAATGACATAATGTGGTTTAGCCTAGTTGGTTGAGCCTAGAGGGTGTAGTCCACATATTTTATAACTTGTGTATTGCTCAATGTGTTCTGAAAGTTAAAATGATGAAGCCTAGAGGGTGTAGTCCACATATTTTTTAACGAGTTAATATCCAAAATGGTCCCTCGATTATGTCATAATTACTAATTTGGTCCTCAACCACCATTCTTACCCAATTAAATCCTCAACTATGTAACTTTTACTCAATTAAGTCCTCAACTATACAATTCTTACCCAATTTAGTCCTCAACTATACAATTCTTACCAAATTTAGTCCTCTGTATTAATTTGACTGTTTGTTGACTGTTAAAAGTCGGGATAAAATTATAATTTTACAAGATTTCTCCTTCCTCTCCATTTAGCAGCGCCAAACCATGCAGCAATACACTCCGATCAGATTTCGATCGTCAAAAAATCGTTGGAAATCAAATTCATGGGCTATCCGATGCATAACCACTACTTCGATACTGATAGGTATAGAACCCAACCGGAGCTTATTGCTACATGGTTTGGCGCTGCTAAATGAGGAGGAAGGAGAAAACTTGTAAAATTACAACTTTATTTCCACTTTTGACAGTCAACAAACAGTCAAATTGACAAAGGACTAAATTAGGTAAAAATTGTAGAGTTGAGGACTTAATTAGGTAAGAATGATAGTCGATGACCAAATTGATAATTACGACATAATCGAGTGACTATTTTGGATATTAACTCTTTTTTAACTTATGTATTGTTCAATGTGTTTTGTAAGTTGGGCCGGGTTAATAAAGCACTTTAATTGCTGAAGATGGTCATTGTACATTTGTACACTCAAATTAGGCAATTTATAGGATGGCCAAGGGTCCACATAGCATTATGAACACTGGATCGAAACGATGAGGTACAAAATTTCATAACACAAGACATATACATATGTTATATATTTACTTATTTTTCAAATAATATGATTTGTGTTCATATGCACAAATTTTTACAACACAAGACACAAAAATTCATAACATAAACACAATTACTAATTTATTTCAGATACATAATTTCATAACACAAAACATAAAAACTTACAATATAAGACACATACATATGCACCAGAGTCCGCAATACATAGTATAAGGATTGCTCAAATTGCCATGCTTTTTAACACACCTATGATAACCTAACAAAATTAACATATTTGGTAGGAGAGAGGGCTAATAATGCAATTTCACTACAAGCCTACGACCATATGAATATATGATCATATACGTGTATGTTGATCAAGATAACAATTTTGCAATCGAGACTAAAACTATTTTTTTATTTCCATTTTAAAATTTGAGAAATGCTCTTCTTTTGTGGGTGTACTCATAGTTTTCACTATCGAACACAGTGATTAATCCCCTCGCTGAATTGTAGGCACCTCTTTTGGGTGAGACAATTGACCTGAGAATTTAAAGCTGTTCCATATCCAAAGCCAATGATCAAACCTTTGACCTTTGATTAAAGATGGATGAATCTCTTCCACTCAGCCACACCCCTAGGTTTAAATGCTTCTTACTCTTACAAAAATCACACAAATTTTACAACTTTCTGATGTGATTATTTGTGTGATTAATTTTTAATTTTAAAATTTCAAATTTTAACTTATTACAAATTGCTACATTAGAGAGTGAGTTTGTGTAAACGCTAGAGGCAGGGGAATGTAACAAGTTCCTTAAAATTGTATTATTATTATTATTATTTTTTTGAATGCCTTAAAATTGTATACTTAAAGTTAAACACTTTTAGAATATTCTCGATAGTTGATGATATTTGTAGCTCTATCTCTTCCCACATCTTTTGACCAAATAGTTGTGGCCGGTAATATTTCAACTATTTATATTTTATTTTCATTCATCTATCATTATTCCATCTAAAATGATCAATTTCAAGAAAATAAGATAAAAAATGATGGTATTTTTATAATTATTAGGCTGCATTAAAAAACTTTTAATAGTACATCTATGAATAATTACGAAAATATTAGTGCACTGCCAATTATTCTACAAAAATGACATTGCATTTAAAAAATAGCCAAATCATCCTAGATGGATGGATTAGTCCACAAGTTTTCATGAGAAGCTTAGTTCTCAACTTTCTCACCCTATTAATGCATTACAAAATGCATTCCCCCTCGAAGGTTCAAACCTATGACCTCTCATTTAGGAGAACCACACTTATACAACTTGACCATAGACAATTGATGGTTATTGCAATAGAACCCCAACACTAATTAACCTTTTCATTCCCCAATGATTTAATGTCATATATTTGGTAATCTGGCAAGACCAAACATCTCAAAATTTAAGAGTTATGAAATGCCAATGGGAGGTTCAGCTAACTCACCTCTATAAAGGGAAAAACCAAGTTATGAATCACCTTACTAAATTGCAAGTTCAGCTTGCTCGCTGCCTTTCAGTTTTTACCTTTTGTCATCATTTAAAGCTGTTCATATGTGAGAAATTGAAGCTAGTGTAGTTACTAATCACATCAAGGACAAAAGGTGCTCATTCCCTTAAAGACGAATACACACACACACACACAAAACCTATATAAATACTTATTGCCTGACATCCAAATTCTGAAATTTTACAGAGTTTGCTAAAGGGACGTGTGAAGAAGTACGAGTTTCTGGGTGAAGTCCATGACAATTTATCCCAAACAACAATTGGACTAGTAACCTTTCTACAGATTCACATCCGCTCCTATATTTGTTTTGTGATTTCTTAAGAACATCCTAAATGTTATATGTTGATCCTACGGCTTATGTTGGATCTCAATCACGCAAGAAATCCTTAATTTTGGGCATTCTGTCTCATAAACAACAGTTTAAAGTATATAGCTGTTGTTTCAGTTGTCCTCTGTGTGCTTCCTCTAGGAGCTTGTGTGTTGGCTGTTGGAAAGCAAAGTCCCCCAGTTTTTGCCATGTTCTGGGACAAGAAACCTCAGTTCTACTGACAGGCAAATGTCTTCTCAGTTCTTGAGCCCTCTACCTATGGACAGGAGGTTCGGTTCTGGTGACCTAACAATCTACGGCCCCAACCTTGTGTTTTTTGTGCTCTTTATGGTTTATACTGACCTTTGTATAGCCTCCTCAATTTGGGACTCAGGACTCAGTATTGCTTCTCTCTGCTACAAAATAAAGGTTGGGTATGTAGGGAACCACTGAACCAGAAGATTGACAAACTGCATGGCATATGTTGCCATGGTTTAGTCGAAATCTCGTAGTAATATGAGTTCTGGGATAGTAAAGTTTAGAGTCATATGTGCAACAGTTAACAGAGAGTAACAAAGAAATACTACGGCCACCCTAGTGCAAAAATTCTCAACAGTAAGCTTTTCCCACCAATGTACCCTAGCACTTTCTACTTGATCATAGCACAAAATTTCATGGCAGACTTCTAGGCTTCTATAGTCTAGTATGATAAGAGAAATGGGTGGGGACTTCTAACAATCTATCTATCTATCTAAGAAAAAGGAAACTTCACTATCAAAAAGTAAATTATCAGCAAGGTGCTTCCACTTTTTAATTTTTAAGATGTTCAAATGTACAACCCGGGAACCTGCAAGAGAACAAGAAGGGAGGACGTAAGAATTAAGGAATGAACCTAGGTAACAAGAAAGCAGGGAAAGCAAACTAGAAGCACTTAATGTAAATGGAATTTCATGTACTTCCAATCGGAACTCACAAGGCGCTCCAAAATTGACAATCATACAAGTCAAGTTTTCTCTACATCATTGTGCTCAGGGACCACCAGCATCCTAGAGAAATCTTGTCACAGATTATGTTGGCCCCTTCATTTATCATATGCACATGGCAACCTGTAGTTTATGGATCTCCAAATAATTTCGGGAAAAATCAGAAGCATCCATATATTGAATTTTTTTTTAAAAATAATAACCAATTTTTGTCCAAGTCACAGCTACCTACTCAGAATCAGAATTGACACTTAGATATGATCTCGGCCTTGCAGAACGACGTTTGCGAGGGAATGAGAAAGGGTATGATCTTGGCCTTGCAGAACGACGTTTGCGAGGGAATGAGAAAGGGTTATCTGATCTTTCTCTGCTCATCTTATTGCATTTATTATCATTCATCCCAAGCAGTGAAACTGTACCAAACAGGATAAATGAATAAATTCAGTGAAAGACAGATCTTCAAATTTCAGTATCACTTATCTCCATTCCATTCCACAGTATCTTTCCTATGAAAAATATCCAAAAAGAAAGTAAATAATAAATACAAACAAAAATAGGAAAATCACACGACAGTATAGATCAAATCACATTACATATCCAGCAAGACACACAACTTCAGACACCACACAGCCCTAATCTGAAACACTCTTGCTAATCATGAGAGATGAATTTTAATACTTCAAATAGAAAACTACACCATAATTCTAATTTCTAAAAAGTTCATTTTCGCCAATTAGTAATAATCACCACATGTAAATCTAACCTTCTTTTGATTCCAATGTCAATGTTCACATAGAGCAAAAATAGTGTTAGAAAACACCATAGCAATGTATATCTGCAGAAGCACAGGCATGCAAAAATAAAAAATAAAAATACACACAAAACAGATCTAAAGACATACCAGTGTCAGTCAATGAATACAAGCCACCATCTTTGGATTGCAATTGCTGATCTGAAGTTAACCCATTAGCAGCTGCAGAATCAGCTCTAGACCTAATGCCTCCACTCCCCAGTGTAAGTGAAAACCAATCCTCAGTTTGAACACCATTTGTGACATCTGGTTGATCTCTTGTATTAGTGTCTGTGGCTGCATTTGATGGTCTAGTTGGAAGAAATATCTGAAGAGGGGGATCAGCACCACCAAACGACATAGAATTGACAATCAAACCATCATTTATATTGGCATTATGACAACCAACAGAAGAGTCAGGTACAACACCAACCGATCCAATGTTGTCATCTGTTAGAAACCCATAGCAATCAATGGAACTGGGAAAATCAATGGACTGAGGCTGTACAACAGCAAAGGAACCCGAGACATCTGCATCTGAACCAAATAATTGATAGCCTGGACCTCCCTGGGTATTGTGAGACAAATGCCATGTGTGCATCTCAAAGTCATTGTTACTAGTACCAAACAGACCAGGGCATGAATTACCCTCATTAGCAAAAGCAGGATCTTCATGATACGAATCTGGAATTCCATGCTGTTGCAATGGAAAAGGGAGTATAGCAGAATCTATCCTGTTGTTGCCCTGGACATTTCCATGAAGCATTGGCGGTTCATTTTCTTCATCTGAATCACTCAAGGTAATAACTTCAGCTTCCCCCAACAGTATGGATGGGTTTCTATCACTAATACCATATGCACAATCCAAATCAAGTGAAACAGATTCAAAGTCAATCCCATTGTTGGTAGGCAACTTGAGGATCCCAATGGCATCCTGATTTACACTGCGATCTTCACCTTCTTTGCCACTCCCCGTTGCACTGCTGCTCATGGGAATGACACCCTGACCACTCACAAAATTATCTTGCATTTTATTTGTCAATGTAGGAACATCCTCAGATTTACTGACTTCCCAAATGCCATTGGGATTTTTCTTCAGTCCAACTCTGAGACCGCCATGACCATTAGAACCACCCTCCTGCTTAAGAATTTCAGGCTTTGGCTTAGAGTCTGCATCTGAAGATGTGTAAAGATTCCCATTAGGTAAGTGCCATAGTCCAAGATCACCAAGACTGTTTCTATCACCTTCCACATTAGCCCGCCAAGAACCATCAGGTTTCACCTCAATCTCTGTCACATCTTCTCCACAATTCCTTAACTGTGCCACAAACCAATCAAAACATCATACAAGTGATATAAGGTAAAAAATTGGAACCAAACGTAAAGCTGTGAACGTCTATACCTTTGAAGCAATTCGATTGAGATACGGGTCAATAATAATATGCTCAAGAGAGTAATTCTTGAGACAAATGGGACATTGCCACTGAAACACATATACAACATTCATTATAATAAGATATCATTAGACAAAAATGGAAACTAGGAGAAATCCACTAATGATAGTAGAAATCCAAAACACATGATTCTCATGCATAGATACTTGCCTTTCTCGTCCTTTGATTCATTTCAACAAAAACTTCAAGATCAAAACAACCCTTGTGAACACAGGGCTTGAATCTTCCAGCAACTTTGATCCTTGAACCACTCATCTGAGAAGGCAAATACAAAAATTAAATATTAACCAAAATGAGGAATTACTGTTATACTAAATCATTGAACCTACAAGAAAGATACTGAAGAAACACTTAATATTGTACACAAAGACATTCTTTTTCCTCATCTTTTGGGCAGAAATGGGAAAGGCAGTAGGATAGAAGTCACAAGTGTATGCTAGCGACGTCATTAAGCACAATATCCATTGAAGATGCTAATAGAATGAGAAATTGCATATGTGACTTTTCACACCATCCAGAAGTTAAAACTGACAGTCATCAGAGAACATAAAATTAAATTTGAAAAAACACCTCTAACACCGTCTGACAATACAAATCCTATGAAACACGTCCACTTTAAAAACACCGTTTAGGGGGTATTTGGTTCATAGAAGGTAATGTGAGATTACAGGAATGTAAGATTACCTTTGTGTTGGGTTAAGATTGTGCGAATGTAATATTAACATACTTGATTGAGGGTTATATTAAGTTATATTACATAATTTACTTAAATGCCCTAATATATGTGTTTGAAATCTATTGAGTTAATTGAGCTAAAAACATGCAGAATCTGAAATCATATGCCATTTTCATTGCATTAAGATTTTATTCTTGTACATAATTGATGATAAGTTGCAAAATATTACAGTCATAGCTTCCCTTGTGGAAAAATATAAAGAAAAACACCATTTTTGCCCTGTGGTAGGAATATCTTTGCCTAAGGTGCCAAGTGGGCAAGAATTATCCCACTATAGGGCTTTATAGTAGTACTTAATTAAAAATAGTAATTCCTTTTAAAATAAATAAATCTTTAAATAATTATTATGAATTAAAACACAAAATTAAGATGGCACTATTATTGTGAATTGATAATTTGAGAAAATGTTTGTGTACTTTTTTGTAAGAGACTAATCCTAAAAATAAAGCCTTAAAAATATAAAGAAAGGGAACCTGGAAAAGGCAGGAAATATTGACAATATGATGAATTGACATTTTTTTAGAGTCCACGGGTTACAACTTACAACCACTACTTTGTAATGTTTCTTTCCCTAATTTTGAGGACAAATATGGAATATTGAAAAGTAATCCTAGAATACCTAAAACTTGCTGGGTAATGAGATTACGTTGAACATAACTTCATTTCCTATGTGGCAGTAAAACTGGTTCAGACTTGAACTAAATAAGGTAATAAGACATTACCCACTTCACATTACCAGGGTAATCTCAAATTATTTGAATCAAACACTCCCATAGGGTAATGCTATAAAAATAAATAATAATAATAATAATAATAATAATAATAATAATAATAATAATAATAATAATAATAATAACAATAATAATAATAATAAAGGATAAAGACACACCCACTAGACTAATGCTTCTACAGCCAAACAACAAAAGAATACGAACTTGCTTTGTTGAATAAATTCCACTTCGCAACAATCTTACTACACATCATAGAATTGTACTGAGGTAATTGAGACCCAGAAAAAGAAGAGGTGAAAGAAGTTGACAAGACAGGCATTTAGTCAAAACACCATTGTGATTAGGCGGTGAATTCGAGGAATAAAGAGTGGAACCATCTCAGCACAAAATATTGAACAAATAGGCATGCATAGAAATAAGAACTTGATTTTATTTTTCCAAAGGAATATCACATAAGATGCATAATACAATAAATGATTTCATCTTTTCAACGTATGAGGGACTCTAGTGGCTGCAAGGGTTCTTTTATTAAAACCACAATGTCAATCTTCAAATATTTACTTACAGGACATCGAAGATTCACAGGAATGTAGTCATCAACTACTTCAATATCACTGTCACTGTCAGCATTTTCTGTGGCATTCCCACCACCAACACGACAAACTCGAGCAAGAGCATCTTCAAATCTCTCGCCAACAGACTCCTTAGGAATACAGTTAAGTATCTAAAGGATTCAAATAAACATAGAATCAGAGAAGAAAAAAAGGTAAACCAACAGCAAACCTTTCAAGTTGCAAATTAGATGCAAAGTTATTTTTTGACATGTACTCTACACTCTACAGTGAAGTATTTATCAAAATATGTTTAGAGATAATGTGAAAGGCTGAAAGAGTAATATAATAAATCTAGCATACAAGTATGAACATGTACAACATGCAACAACAGAAAAATTTTCCCTTCAGTATAATAGCACGTGCAAGCTCCACTTAAGACTTAAGCTTCTCAAAACACACTTGAATGGACAAAAAGAAGGGGTTCTATCTAAAACTAAAATACCTGTTGCACAGTACGCCGCTTTACAATTCTAACACCGAAACAAAATACACGAGCATCAACACCTGTTAAGGAGATTTTATTGATACCATCCCTAATGCATGGTGTTATCTGGTGCAGAGACAAAAAGAACCAAAAGTAATTAAATGCAAGTTGGAAGAGACATAAGTGTTCTAATGAGTAAAAGGGAGCAAGGATGAATTAACTTTAAAAAGGTAAAAGTAGAACTACACTTATAATGTGCAATTATCATCTAGCCCAGTAACGAGTATATAAATGCATGATGGTAATGTGTAAGCAGCAAATGTTCTCAAGATGAAAAACAAACAATAACAATTAAGTTGCATAGTGTCAAAACTCACTATAGGTCCATCATCTCGACCATTAGCCCCTAACAATTGTGTGCCAGGTCTGTTTATTGCTCGAAGTGTGACCCCTGCAAGGTGAAGCAGAAGTAATTTTAAAAAGTCTGTTTGAGATCTCAATGAGATGGGCTGAAGCTATCAATAGCAACCAGTTGTTGTGGGAATAAGAAAAGAGTTAAAAATAATATAGTATTCAATAAAATAATGAATCTGGACCAAGTATGATTAGCAAATACCAGAGTGCAGAAGACAAGTTGGTTGTACAGTTGGACAAAATAATTAGTTTGGATCGAGTAATATTAGCAAATCCCATAGTACAGAGAACTGGTTTGGCATATGCTAGTCATTTGAAGCCATTTGGATTCTACAAACATGACCCATAGCCAAAAAGTTAACTGAAACAACAGCGTATAGGACAGTGACTATGTTACCCAGCACAAATTATATGTTCCTTAACCCAGTGCAAATGTTAAGTAAACCACAAAGCCTATTTTCCATCCTGAATATCAGTTAGATAATTTTCCTTAAGCCAGATAAAATTCAAATTAATTTGAAAAGCCTATAATAGAGAATGAATTGATGCAAGAGCATACCATTGAATTGCAGAGCTGTATGCAGAGGCCATTGCATCCTAAAGTGGACCATGTCATTGAGAAGCATGCACCAAGCCTGAAAGTGACACCATTCTGAGTAACACACGAATAAGCTTCAGTGTAAGCATATCAGTCCGAATCATGGGCAAACCTGAAGATCATACTCTTGTTTGGCCAGTAAGTCTCTATCTGCTCTTGTAAGTTGAAATGTTTTCTCAATACTCTGCACCGGGTTTGTTCTGAGATTCACAGGTGTAACACAAGACATAAATGGATGGCACAAAAGAAAACTTACAAGAACATAAACATGATATGAATAAGCAAGAACCTAGAAAATATTATGAAATGAAAACATATACCACAGTTTAAAAAGGAATACTCTCTTTTTGACAAGTGGAGGCCCTAAGAATACAGAAGCTATTAAAGCTGGAATAAAGAGAAAATGGATAGTGACAGAGCACCAAAATTGAAGAGATGACAGCATCACAGTACAAATAGGACAAGAGTCCAAGACAACAATATTCCAAGAATTCTATCAACACAAACTCATCCACTTCTGGAGACCCTCAATGGGAACGAGTGGGGACAAGATATTTAATTACAACTTGCATGAATAAAATCCTCTCCACCTAGTTTACTGGAAAGCAAGATCGTCATTTGGAATCCTATTCATTTGGTGTAAATACAAGCTTGTAAATTCTTAACCTCAAGTCAAGATTGAGCTTCTGCAAACAGTCAAACACTTGAGCACTGTCTTGGTGTCATTACTCATTTATTTTGTGAATAAATTCATTAAAAATTTAAGATTCATCCAACATTTGCTGTTATGATGTTGAAAAGGGTAGCCTAATGCATGAAGCACACTCATTATGACTGGGATCTGTAGAAGGGTCAGACCTGTTGGGTTTATTTAACAGTCTTTATGGTTGTAAAATGATTTTAATTCCTTTCCTTTACCTACATGATTTTAAAACATTATATCAGCAATATGATCTATTTGAAGTGTTGCAACTTGAAAGAGAATATCATAAGGGGGCCATATTCCCATGTATTTACTTAAAGGATAAATTCATGAATATATTTACTTGTAAGATCAACTCTTGTGATTTTGTGAATCAGTATATTAATTTAAAGGTTTACCTGAATAAAGAATATCAAAGATAGTTAATGAAAAATACCTTAAATGAATAAAGCAAAAAGATTAATACAACATTTTAATGATAGTTTAAAATCATGTTGTCTCTGTCCCGCAAAAAGAAGAGGCTAAATAACCCCTACTTGTACATAACGTTCAGTGGAAGTATCAGACTATCAGCAAAAATATTACTCCGTAATAAGGTCACACATAAATATAACATTTTTAGACCAAATATGGGGGGGAGGAGAAAGAGAGAACAGCACATAATAAATATAACATTTTTAGACCAAATACTGAATAAGAAGATAAAGCCACGCATTTAAAAGAAGCAAACTTAGGAGATTGTCAACAGATATCAGATATTTACCCATCAGGTGGGACATCTGTAACAGTCAGCTTTACTGAAGGTAAAGGATTTGCCACTGGTACCAAGAAGCTGCACAAATAATATTTGTTTAGAAATTTAAAATCAGTTAAACTTCAAGCATGAAAGATGTAACCCTTGAAGAGCATTCATGTGAAGTACTAGGAATAGATTGTGATTTGTAGATCTGATTCTTCAGACACAAAAATACTATAGCTACAGTTAGAACCCCAGGTTAAGCCTTGCATCTCTTAAATAAGGCTTATTAGCAGTTCTAGTCAATGAATTCAACAGATAATCTCAAGAGTAATGAAGAACCAAGGAAACAGTGTCACTTACGGGTCAGCACGTCTCAACCTGCACAGTTCACAATAGAAAGTTCCAGGTGGTATTGGTGGAATACCACTCTCTCTGGCTTTCTCTGGAATGATAACACAGCTAATATGTTGCCACACATGGCATTTGGGATCTTCACACTGCAGATGAAAGTAGAGCAGCTAGATAAAAGAAACAAATGCTTCAAATAAGTGGCCTAAGTCCCAGCACATTTGCTGAAATACTATATGCCACACAAGTATACATATCCCATGCTAAGATTAAGAAAGGGAAGAATATGTGTACAGTAAACAGTATTAGAGAGAGAGAGAGTGTGTGTGTGTATAATCAGGAGCTTTTTGGTTTGTGGATATATCTTTCTACTACTCTATGAGACAGGAAATATACAAGTATGAAGCATCTAGTACCTTAATCATTGAATCCGTTTGTAAGGTGCTTCCACATGGACATTGAATCTTATCCATCTTGTAAGAGTCTTCTATTTCGTCCTTAAACTTTGCACTGCTACTATCTGAGAATCCTTGCAATTTTGAAGCCAAGTCAGGTGCTCCAGAGACCTGCATTTTTCTAGAAACAGAAAGAGGAGATCATTTTATAACTATATATGTATAAATAACCAAGAATGTAAAGAATTCAGAATACATGAGTCATAGTAGATAAGTAAACCAAGCTGAAAATAGACCCACTCAACCCAAAAATGTAAAATGAACTAATTTATAAAAATTCACATCGTTTTTTATGTAATTTCAAAATTAACAAACCTAATAATACTTTTTTATTAAGAAATACACCCTCTGTCTTGAAATCAATGTCTTACTTGCCTTTGGCATGCCATTTAAGAAAACAATTAGATGAAACCTCCTTTCCGGTTTTGCCCCTCAATTAAAATGCATGAATAGCTTCCTAAAATGGTCTTCTGCTACATACCTAATTTCAGATATTTGAAAGTGAACTCATAGAAAACAAGAATCAAATTCTTACTAGCTTCTTTTTTAATGAGATGAATGAAAAATGTGCAGGATGAATGAACAGAAAATTTTCATATAACTATATAAATAGTAGGAAAACACAACTTTACAACTCAATAGTGATGAGGATTCTTGAATTTCCAAAAAAGAACGTAATGGATTAGTAATATCCTAAAAATGAAATAAAGAAGGTCAAGTAAAGTAGAAGAGCTATGAACCTTGAGACAATAAGCTGGGGAAGTGAAAGAGTGAACTTCGTGAATGTTATAATATAAGATTGGGTCAAGGTCACTCAATTGGGCTATAATGCACATGGGCCAAACCAAACTAAAAGATTGAATCCAATAAATTAGCTAGTCTAATCCATGGCCTTATAAACCCATATGTTCTCTCTTATATTTTCAATGTGGGACTCTTAACACTCCCCCTCAAGTGGACAACCGGGCCATTTTGAATCTAACCGGTTGACCACTTGTAATCCCTTGGGATTGGACCCTCCCCTTTGAAACGAAAGCTTGGACACCACCAATACCACAGGTAGACAACCGGGTGAATACAAAGTGGACCGAGCATGCTCTAATACCATGTTATAATATAAGATTGGGCCAAGGTCACTTAATTGAGCTATAATGCACATGGGTCAAACCACATTAAAAGATCGAATCCAGTCAATTAGCTAGTATAATTCATGGCCTTATAAACCCATATGTTCTCTCTTATATTTTCAATGTGGACTCTTAACAATAAAGAAAATATCATAGAAACATTGAAAGATTTTGATTGCTGATTTTTATACCTGGCCAAAATTGGGAGTGACTGGCTGCAACGGTGTCTAACCAGAAAACAAACTATTAAGGGTCCGTTTGGAAAGCAGGAAAATGACTTCTGGAAAATGAGTCATTTTCCGGAAAACATTTTCCTTTCTTGTGTTTGGCAGCACGGCAGAAAACAGTCTTTGTGTGTTTGGTTCATTTTCGGAAAATGAGATAGAATTGTATAATTAATCATTTTATATAATTAATTATTTTATTTAAAATAAAAAAAATTATAATAAAATTTATTTTTTAAAATCAAATAATATTAATTATTAAAAAGTTAAAAAAAATTTAAAAAAAAAAAAAAAAAAAAGAATACGGAAGAAACCAGAGAGAAGTCCTTCTCTCTGGTTTCCGGCGAGGGAAACCAGAGAGAAGTTCTCTCTGGTCCATCTTCACGTTTTTTTTTTTTTTTTTTTTTTTTTTTTTAAATAATGTTCGCCGGAAGGGGTTTCCATTGTTGGTGGAGACATGGTGTTGTTTCTGTGTTGAAGGAGGAGGAGGAATTGAAGGTAAGCAAGTGTGTGGAGAAGATGGAAAATGACTTCCCCTCAAAAAAAGGGGAAGTCATTTTCCATAAATTTGGGCTCATTTTCCATTGACTTCTCTTAATTTTCCTTTGACCATTCAATTTTCAGCCTAGCCAAACACCCAAAACCCGGAAAATGATTTCCAGAAGTCATTTTCCGGGTTTCCAAACAGACCCTAATTGTGCTTATGATGGTGCATTGTTTGGCAATGGTGTAGAGAGGATTAATTGAGCTTTATTGATACAGAGCAAAAGAATAACAGAAGATTTCCAAGATCCAAAAAGGCAAAAGAAAAGGAAGTTGCTATTAAAGATGGAATTGACAGAGATTACAAAGGAGAAAGGGCCCAATTTCCAACAAAATTCAAAGTATATTGACTTAAAATTTTGAAGTCCATGGGTTGTTATGGAAAAACATTATAATAGTGTTTATTTTAGGAAAGTGGATAGTATTTTGGGATGGACTAAAATGAAAAGTAAGATAGGTAAAATTGTAAATGGATAGAGGGAGTATAACAAGAGAAGAAAAGTATGATCTAATAACAATTAGGGAAAATGGCACTTTTTCCCCTAAGTTATAGTAATATAGCTTATTTCCCCCCTCAATTGTCCTCGAAATGGCAATTTTTACCTAAATCCACTAACTATTTACCGTTGACTTCCAAAACTCTATTTAAAAAAATTATAAAAAAAAAAAAACACAAACACACAAAATAAATAAGATAATTTCACCAAATTCTTGTTTACGGATACTAATTGTATATCCAGAAATAATTGAGAGAAATTATCTTGTCTATTTTGTACGCTCGAGTTAAAAGAGCAATGGCATTGAAAGATTTAGCTGATATTCCTTTAAAAAAAATCCTCATTTTTTAGGATTTTGGATGTTTACCGTGAATAGTTAATGAATTTGGGTAAAAATAGCCACTTAGGTCTTCGGGGATAATTGAGCAGAAAAAAGTGCACATACCTAAAACTAAGAGAGGAAATAAGCTATATCACTATAACTTAGGGGGGAAAACTGCAATTTTCTCTAAAATGTATTCATGTTATTCTTAGATAGGTCACATCATTATAATTTAATACATAACATAGCAAGTTTAGAAGCTTTTTCATCTCCATTCACTAGAGAACTGATAGTATACAAGACCATAGCCCAGAAACGCGAGCTGAAATTAAAAATTCAAAACACATAACTTCCACATAAATCTTCACATTTAAGGCCTTTACTTTTTTCTTTTTCTTTTTAACTAAACCTTGTTGTTCTTTAGTCTAAAAGTAGACATAAATAACTACAAAATACCTGTAAATATCATCCACAATTTTTGCCACCTGTTCCTTGCCAAAAGCATTCTTCTTTGCCCATACTCCCGACACTAATCCCAGTAGTTATGTTAGCAAAGAGTAAATACACAATCTGGTCACCATTTTCATATAAGTTTTCTTGCAGTAATGTACAAAAGAAAGTATTTTCGTTCACAACTTACCCTGTTCATCAGACAAGATGGTCAATATTCGATCAACAAGGTCCTACAAAACAAATAAAGATGTTATTTACATGAAGTAGCAGTAGCATATGTTGTGTTGCCTTACTGGCAATGATGCAGACAGGTGGAGGTGCCAAAGATTTCAGCTTAACAGCAAGTGCACCATAAATCCCAGTTTCTCTCATGAAGGATGAAGGCTATTCCAGCAATGGTAAAAACGTGGTCCCAATATCACAGTTTGCAAGATTCACCACAAAAAAAGATAGTTGGTGAGGTCACCATGACACGGTTTTTTAACTCCTAAAACTTAAAGCAACGTAAGCTTAACTAGAAAGCAAATAGTAGGAGAATCCCTACAGAAAAGGGCTGCAATTGAAAACCTCAACTATAGGTTTTCAGTACAAGATTGCAGTGATTGCTACCATAAAACAAAAGGGCAAACAAAAATATAAGTGGTCTGTAGTACAAGGCTGACAACCCTTCATCCAAATTTTATTTTTTTTTAAATGATATGATGCTCTTCAGGAACAGGGAAAGTAGTTAAGTAGCTATGTGATCTTTCTACATAATGTAAGAGAGTGTCATACCTGCTTCTTTCCTTGCTTTGATACACCAAGTTGAGTGAGAACATCCTTGAGTTCCTTTATCCGGAAATATGTCAGCTTGTCCTAATAGAGATGATTAAACACAAATTTGTAGTTTTTGAGGATAGAAGCAAAATACCAAAAGAAAAGTCCAATAACGGAAGCAAAAAAATTTCTTCATTAGGCAGTCATTTTTCATTTTTACCCCAATACCATTTCCCATTTTACCATTTATTATTCAAATAACTTTCACTTTTTTTTCTGAAACAAGCCTAACCACAACCAAATAATATAAACTTATTTAAATAATATTCCTCCCAGGGTGGGGGACAAAAGATACGGAAAGAAAAATTAACTACTCATTTAAAGAAAATAATGTTTGAATTAAAAGATGAAGCAATAGCATTCCATCTACATCCAAAACCACAATAACATCTAGTTGCATTTCCAAAAAAAACTATGGTTCACAACAGTTTCTAAAATATAAAGAAATGTAAATTCAATAACTAACTGGTTTGAACATATCATCATATCTTAAGCATTGTGATCAATCACTCATAGTCTCATACTAAATTCTGTCCCACTGTACTAATATGTAAACAAATAATTATAGTTGTTATCTGATGAACTAGATTTGTTTCCAGAATTAGGAAAACACTCAATCCTAATTACTAAGCAATGCCACAATTCACTTTAAACTGTTTCTGTTCTGCTCAAAGTTAAGCACCAATGCACCATGATCCGTGTCACCGAGTCAAGAGTCTAAAACACAACTAGGTAATTAAAATTCACGTAAAAAATAACAATTCAGAAAAGAAAAGGTGCTAGAGCAGAGGTGATTACCTTGCAGCTACCTAGTAAATCCATGTTTACACACCTCCCTGACGACAAATAAATAGTGTTCTGCAGTTAAAACATGAACTGATCAGCCAAGAACAAATGATTGATCTAATCAGGAAGCAAAATCAATCCACGAAGTGAAAGAAGCAAGAGCAAAATCCATATCAAATTCACATATATATGCATAGAATGAATGATGATGCTTAGACTTACAGTGAATGGGAAACCGAAGGAGGTGTTGGTGGGTGGGACAGTAATCGGTAATTCTGAGGTTTTTTAATTCACAGAATCAGACTCGGTATCCGCATTGCTGTATTCCTTCCGGACGTATCATGGGTTTCTCAAATCCGGTTTATTTCGTCCAAACAAAACCGGGTTTGGATTCTCTGCTTTCGCGTGTAACGGTGTAAGCCGTGGCGTTTTTCATGCTGTTTTCCACACTACTTCTTACGCCAGCGCGCTCGTGGCAGGAACCGCGAAATTGATATATAAATTTATTTATTTATATGTATATATGTATATACACGCGCATTGCACAGATAGTTTAATACATGTATTATTAAATTAATGTTTCATATTTATCAATGTATTATTCAGTATCATCTCGTACATCAATGCAATATTATTAATAGTCTATAAATATGATATGTGGCATAAATATTTGATTAAATGGTGCGATGACATATGGAAACACCTTCATTGGATAGACGGATAGTATCAAAAATATTTTTTACAACACGTAACCCTATTAATTTTACCAGTTTGGCGTGATCCATGTTTTCTCTTGTTGTCACTTCCAACATGAATGAATTATTGATTAATTAACCAAAGTTTATGTTAAATTTTATATTATATGTTTTAATACACTATAACATATTCATAGTATATGTTCAACAATTATGCCAATTCCAATTGGAATGTGGATTGAACCTAAGGCATTCTTTATGAAAATAAAAGAGCAAGTTAAGAATAATAAATAGTTAATTGAATATTTCGTTACTAAAGTTTACACTAAAAGAATGTATATATATTTAAGAAAAGTAAATGATATAATATAGGGTAAAGTATGAAAATTCAATAATATTATATATATATATATATATATATATATATATATATATATATATATATATAATCAAAATAATATGAACTATTCATTTCAACTAACATTTACACTAACATTTTTATATTCCGTTAGATGCCTAACTTTATCATCTCTTATTAAGTTTGTATGTATATATACATATACATACTCCTTTGGTTGTTGGTGACGAACGACAATTGATGGTGGCAGCTGACATTAATTGCAGCGGCGACTAGCTGGAAAGGTTAGGTAGAAGAAAGTTTAGGAGAAGACGAATGAAGACTTGGCTCTAGAAGAAGAAGCATATGGTAACGACACAATATGTGGCTGGAAAATGACTTCTCCCAATAAAAAAGGAAGTTATTTTTCATAAAACACAAGTGTTTTTCATTGTCCGGAAGTGATTTTCTGTTGACTTTCATTTTCTGTGCTCTCCCAAACACTGAAAACTCCGAAAATGATTTTCAGAAATCATTCACCGAGTTTTCAAACACAACCATAGTTTAAAAGAGCAAAATTATCATTCTCTTATTGTTTAACTAATGTTGGAGACAAAAGAAGAGAAACACTGCTTTAATAGGAGTGATCGATTGACCGACTTTTACAGTTTAAGTCAATCAATTATGTATAACATAGATTATTTTACCTCATTGTGATCATTAGCAAGCTAAGCCCGCCAAAGCTTGCCAAAATACAGGCCTAATGAAGATCGGCCCACCCCCGCACCGCTTAGGATGCGGGCTTTAGCGGGACCTACCAAATTTTAAAAAGTTTAAATTTAAATAAAATTAATATGAAAAATGTTATAAGTGTATCCTAAAATAATTTGGATAATTTAAACATACATTAATGCATTAATAATTTGTTAAACACGATAATAACTCCTACTAAATAATTAAATACATAATTTGTTAATCTATTAATCAATAACAAATGATTTATATAATGTACTAATTACTAATACATTTTTTCACTACAAATAAATAAACAAACGTATATATTTATATATAATCATATAAAATGATGTATATATACACTAATATTAATAATGTATACATAATAGGCAGATTTGACAAGGCTAAAATACGGAACATAAAATTTAAAGTCCAACTTACCGTTTTGACAAAACGAGACGAATTGTATGACAGACTAAACTCATTTTGACAACTCTAAGCTAAATTTACATATTCTCACATATTAACTTTGCGATTCTATTTTCACTCAATTTAAAAAAAAAAAAAAAAATGACGGGTGCCATATTTAAACATTTTTTTAGGGTGAATTTTAAAATCAAAGGTTAAAAAAATCACTACATTCAAAGATGAAAGTGAAATTAACAATAGTAAAAACAAAAACTAAAAAAAATAAATGGGATGGGGGATCCACGGCTTCTTTCTGTATTGTCGGCGTTAGCAACGGTAACTTGCCGGAGAATCCGTTCGTTCGTCACCCCCAGAAATGGCCGACTCGCCGACTCAGTCTGCCATAGAACTGAATAACACACCCTGTCCTTCTCCCCGGCCTCCGATCCCCATAGAGATCATTAGCGACGAAGAAATGGCTCTTATCGAAGCTGCGTTAGCCGCGACACGCCCTTCCCTCTCCTGTTCTTCTTCTTCTTCGACTCAGTTTCAGAGAAGCGCGAGGTCCATCCACTCCATAACTCTGACGTCAAAGCGGCAGCTTTCGGGATGTACGGAGACTGGCTTGTCATCGGTCGGCGATATTGAGGATGGTCGGAATCGGATTATTACAAGTCCCCGGAAGAAGAACCGGTTCACCCAATCACTTTTACACCGGTTTCGGAGAAAGAGAGGCTTGGCTGTTACTGATATTACTGCCACAGTATAAAACACTTTGAATTTTCTTTTATTCTGTTTGGGTTCGGATTTCATGGAATGGGTCTGTGCCCTTTCTGCTAAAATTTGATTTATTTTGTCTGAATTTAAAAAAAAAAACATGTGCTTTTGTTGTGTTGTTGTGTTTGTTTAAATTTGAGATAATTCCTAGTTAGATATTATAGAAGAAATGGTTACTTTTGCTTGAATGGTGATCTCAAATTCTCAATGATCATTTTTCTTTGTTAGACCTGTGTTCCTAAAACCCTTATCATACTTAGACTAATTCACTAATCCTCATTCCCAATTAAGGGGGTTATCTCAATGATCATTGAAGTTGAGAAAGTCTAGATTTTGTGTTGAATTCCATTAATTCATTTGTAATGTATGTGTTTACATGATAATCCATACTTGGGACTAAATCATTTTCTAATATTATATGATGTTGGGCACCTTAGGTCTGCTAAAATTTGGATTTGATTTGCTTCTCCTTTGGAACTTATTTTTGTCCATTTTGCCATATTATACTTAGGAGTGGTGTGAAAAGCAAATGGAATATTTCCTTCTCATTGGTAAACCAGAAGTCAGTAAAGCTATGAAAGCGGGTAGCATACGACATGCAGTTCTTGAAGAAGAGGTATATTATATATTTATATACGCCTTCAGATTCAGTGTTTTATGTGATATGGGACAGTAATGTGATGCTGTAATGTTTATCACTCTGTTTTTATCGAGTCTTGTGTGTGACTTTTACATAGGCCCTATTTGGTAAATGGTTGTTAGCTGATTGGGTTAATTAGAGGTATAACTAGTTGATAACATTAGTTGATTGTAGAAAGGTGTTTGGTAAATTAGCTGTTAGCTGATAGCTGTTTGGTTTAATTTCCTTTCTCAAAAAGCTAATTGAAAAAGTTGCTTTGAACAGCTTTTTGAATTTTAGCATTTTGGAGTTACACTTATATTGATTTTTTAACCAAATCAAAAAGTTAATAGTTGTCAAATAAGCCAAAATTGGCATATAGGCTAACTATTTTACCAAACAGGGCCATAATCAAGTCTTAAGATGAACCAAATTTGTTTGTTTACATCATTTATAATTGAATATTAGCTTTGATGTGAATTATGTCTAGCCTGGCAGATAGGAGCAGCAAGTATTCTTTTGTGAAAAATGCATAATTATTTTTCATTATGTTATTGTGATTGAACAATGTGAGCTTCATAAGGTCTGTATTTATATGTGGAACGGAGCTATTATTATTATTATTATTTTTAATTTACTCTGTTAAATATGACTCAAAAGTGAAGCATTAAGGTGGGGTTTTCATGTGTTTCCTGTGATATCCATGTCGGTTCCACCACCATCATCATCTTCTTCAAACGCTGGCAGGTTGTCAAAAGAGTAAAAGTTTCTGCTCAGTCCAAGGAAGATGTATGGGCAATCAAGATCATTAATTTTATGGTTGGTGCCAATCAGTTATTATTTGACGGGTTGACACGTGAATTACCCATGTAAGTCTATATCACCTTGCATTATTGCAAACTCATTTCCTTGTCTTCAATAAGAAGGAAATGGTAATATGACACGAAACCTTTCTGTGAAAAGATAGTGCTAAAATCCATCCTGGATTTGAGGGTTATATTTTAAATCTTTAGACTTTAGATACAATGTTGGTGTGGACTTGTTTTTGGAATATATGTATTTGAAAACTAGGATGAACTTCTAGATGGAATTATCATTTTTATCTGATGATGTTTTTTACGGCCCAATCCATTTGCTGGTTGCTGTACATTGTCAATGTACTTTTAATGACATGAAGAAATGCAAATGTGTATCAATCTACAAAATGAGTTGGAACATTTTCCGTCCACCTCTAATCTCTCTGTTCACTTTTGCAATAAAAAATATGCTTTTGTTACCTAGTTTTATGAAATATTCTATCTTTTTTTTTTTTTTTTAATTTATATATATATATAACAAAATTTTGCAATTAGCGTAGTTCTTTTTAAATATTTGACGGAGTAAATTATTTGGATCACCAGAATAGGCTTTGCTGAAGGAGTATGGATGGTTGGAGTGATAGATGAAATACGAATGCCTACAGAAGAAAATGACAGATTCCCCATCTTAGTTGACACGAAAACACGTGTGCGAGCTACTCTTCCTTCTGAACCACAGCGTAGGAATGGAAGGTATAAGCTTATGGCTTGAGTTGTTAATCTAGGGATTAATCATGATTTATTAAAAAAAAAAAAAAAAAAAAATCCTTTCAACCAAGTTGTTAGGGGAAGATGTTAGTTAATATGATCTTACATAACAATTAATTAACCTTCTTCTCATGGCAGGCTTCAATTAATGTGCTACAAGCTCCTCTGGGATAACGTGGTTGCTGATAAATTTCCCTCTGGACGGTTCTTTGATTTCTTCTCATTAAATCCGAACCGTATTTTATCTGCTGAAATTCGAGAGAATACAAACAATTCAGGCTTTCCAGCAGAGGTAAACTAAAATCTCCCGCGCTTAAATACAATGAGTAAGACTAAATAAATTTTGAATTTGTTGGTCCATGAACGGCATGAAGTAATTAATAACTCACGCAGAAGGGCAGTAATAAGTAGTACTGCAATTACTATGTAGACACCACCTAAATGGAAGCTTTTCGGTGTTTTTTTCCTCTCCCTTCCAGACTCTCGGTGAACTCATGGGATATTTTCGAAATGCTTGTTCTATGCTTCCACGAGCACATGACAAGCTGTTGTTGAGGTTGGTGTGTGTATTGGTATAAGTTGGAAACTTCAACACAGAACATTCGATGTATTCATTTGTGACCTTTTTCTGCTTTTACTATTTGATTTTAAAGGTATGAATTGCAAGAAGATCAATCGTTTCTTGGTGAAGATGAGTTTGCACACGATTCAGATTGGGTGAAGAGTCAAATACAGTGTTGTTTAGAATTCTGGCGTGGTGATCGTGAAGCTATTTGTACTCCCATGGAGGAGCGTTGGAAATGCAAGAGTTGCAAATTTGCTGAAGTCTGTCCAGCGGGAAACGCTGGTTTACCAAGTTTGCAAGATAAGACACACAACTAAACTTGAGTATTTGAGGAAGAGGTTCTCATCGAACATAAATAAACCATCTTCATCTTCAACATCAACTAACCATCTCTCAAGAACAAACAACTTCAGCACAGAGCTTTGAAAATTCATTCTTATCCTGTGGTTGTGTAATTTATAAGAAGATTTGTTGTAAAAGATTCTTGTTGAACGAACTGAATATAGCCCTAATTTGGCAAAGTGATTTTGTGAAGCAAAAATGGCAAGTGTTAACAAACTTGATCGCCAAATCTCTTAGTTTTTTGTAAAGAGAATTCATCTTTTTAATTTTCGGCAAAAAAATTGCAAAACAAAACTATGAAACCGAAACCAAACTTGGGAGGGAAAAAAGAAGACAAAAATAAGACGAGTCATTAAAAACACACACGTAATTGTAACTGTTTACCCACAATAGTCTTGCCCTCATCGAAAATAGCAGATGGGTATAATAAATGACATCCAGAAAGCTTACCATCATAACCCATTCAGCAACCAAGTAAACCAAAATTGCTCAACAAATATAAGAACTATTGGTTGCAGGGCATAATGGAATGACTAACCAGAGCCATATCAGAAAGTCTTACAAAGGGCCATACCAGAAAGAGTCTAAAGTTTATCAAAATTTAACCAATTAAAGCAAATAAAACAGGCGCTCCTTCAAAGGAGAAATTCTCATTAAAAAACACATGCTCACTTCTTCTTCTGAGCAGCCTTGGTAACCTTGGCACCAGTTGGGTCCTTCTTGTCAACATTCTTGATAACACCAACTGCAACCGTTTGTCTCATGTCCCTCACAGCAAAACGACCAAGTGGTGGGTACTCAGAGAAGGTTTCAACAACCATGGGCTTGGTGGGAAGCATCTTCACCATACCAGCATCACCATTCTTCAGGAACTTGGGCTCCTTCTCCAGCTCCTTACCAGACCGTCTATCAATCTTGGTCAAAAGTTCAGCAAACTTGACTGCAATGTGGGAGGTGTGGCAGTCCAGCACGGGAGCATATCCATTACCGATCTGCCCAGGGTGGTTCATGATGATGACCTGAGAGGTGAAGCTCGCAGCTCCTTTGGCTGGGTCATCCTTAGAGTTTGAGGCAACATACCCACGCTTAAGATCCTTCACAGCAACGTTCTTCACATTGAACCCAACATTGTCACCGGGAAGTGCCTCCTGAAGGGCTTCGTGGTGCATTTCAACAGACTTAACTTCAGTGGTAAGACCAGAAGGTCCAAATGTAACAACCATACCCGGCTTCAGGACACCAGTCTCCACACGACCCACAGGGACAGTACCAATACCACCAATCTTGTACACATCCTGAAGTGGAAGTCGGAGGGGCTTGTCAGATGGCCTCTTGGGCTCATGGATCAGGTCAAGTGCCTCAAGGAGGGTTGGTCCCTTGTACCAGTCAAGGTTGGTTGACCTCTCAATCATGTTGTCTCCCTCAAAACCAGAGATGGGAACAAATGGAATCTTGTCAGGGTTGTATCCCACCTTCTTCATGTAGGATGAGACTTCCTTCACAATTTCATCGTACCTGGCCTTCGAGTATTTGGGGGTAGTGGCATCCATCTGCAGAAACCAAAGTAAACAAGGTTAGATATCATCATTTAATAAAATGGATAGTAGATACATTTCATATGTTACCAACTCATAGATAAACTAAAGCTAACCTTGTTACAGCAGCAAATCATTTGCCTCACACCAAGGGTGAAAGCAAGCAAAGCATGCTCACGGGTCTGTCCATCCTTGGAAATACCAGCCTCAAAACCACCAGTGGTGGAGTCAATGATGAGGACAGCGCAATCTGCCTGTGAGGTACCAGTAATCATGTTTTTGATGAAGTCACGATGTCCAGGGGCATCAATGACAGTGCAGTAGTACTTGGTGGTCTCAAATTTCCACAAGGCAATATCAATGGTGATACCACGTTCCCTCTCAGCTTTGAGCTTGTCAAGCACCCAGGCATACTTGAATGACCTCTTGTTCATTTCAGCAGCTTCTTTCTCAAACCTCTCAATAACACGCTTGTCAATTCCTCCAAGCTTGTAGATCAAGTGACCAGTAGTGGTCGACTTACCAGAGTCGACATGGCCAATGACCACAATGTTAATGTGAACCTTCTCCTTACCCATCCTATTTAATAAAAACTGCAAAATGTAAAAAGAAAACAATTAACAGCCGATACACATGAAATATAAAATTACAGGCAAAAAAACATAATATAAATAGCATATGTAAATGACTTAAATTATCAAAAAATTCCAACCAGGGCCTGCAATTTTTAGTAATAAACCCTCTAGATTGGGGTTGACAACATGTCAACAGTTACTATACCAAGAAAATTTAATAAAAACCAAGTAACACACAAATAAACAGCTTCATCAATCACACCTTTAGACATCTGCTATGCAGTAATCAAATTCAGTTCACCACTGGAAAATTAAAAATTTAAAAATATTCAAAACGCATCAGGCAACAAACGCTTCAATTTTAATAACGTTAGATTCAGAGCTCAATATCCAAATCATACAACACCAACATGATTGAAAGCCGGTCCTAAATCCAATCACATAGCTTTAAGATAAATATATAAATCGATGTGATTCCAAAAAGCAACCGCATAATATCATACATCCTTTATAGATTTACACCTCAAAAGTGATCTATAGATACAATTACACAAAAATCTATGCAGATCTACCGATCAGTTCCATAAGTAACATGTAAATCAGCTCAAGCAGAATCTAATCACTACGAATGTTAACTCAAATAAACAGCTAGCACAGTAACATCATTTGATTAATACAACTACTTAAGCAAAAAATCAAGTTACTTAAACATATCTGATATCGATTCATAGACCATATAAACATCACGAGCATGTATGAAAACCAAAATAACAGAAACACATACCGATATCGAGATGCAGGGAAAGATAGAGAGAGAGTGAAAGGGAGGACTCTGGCCTTGAGAAGACTTAATGAGAGTCCGAATGAGGGAGAGACCAAAGAGAGGCAATGAGGAGCTTATAAATCAAGTGCAGGGAGTGTAGTGAGATTAGGGTTTTTCATGGGCCGTTGGATTTAATGATCGACGGTCCATAAGTGCAGTGCCTTTTTGGTCAGTCGTGGGTTTTCGTTGGAATCCTAGTGTGACCCGCATTGAGGGCAAATTATGCTGTGCATCCGTATGCACCATCATACGGATGCAAAAACGACGTCGTTTTAATAATACGCGCGCCTCTCCTTAAAAAAAAAATCAGGTTCAATTCCCAGCAACAATATATAAATTAAAATTTCATAATCGATTAACTATAATTCCATAATCTAATCTATGAACTAAAAATTCCAGAATGAATGAACTAAAATTCCATAATCTATAAACTAAAATTTCAGAATCGATGAACTACAATTCCATAATCGATGAACTATATTTCCATAATCAATGAACTATAATTCCATAATCTATGAACTAAAATTCCATAATGAATGAACAATATAATGTTGTTGCTGAGAATCGGACCTGGATTTTTTTTAAAGGGGAGACGCGCGTTTTTTAATAAAACGACGTCGTTTTGGCATCCGTATGCACCATGCATGGTGCATACGGATGCACAGCATAACGATTGTGCATTGAGGGCAACTTTTACTGTAGCTGGTCCATCTAGCAAGTTATGGCAAATTATGATGTAGATTCATAATTTTTATACTGTAAATTTATAACTTCTATACTGCATATTCATAATTTATGTATTGTATAAATTTACATAATAAATTTTATGAATCTACAGTATATAAATTATGAATCTACAGTACATAAATTATGAATGTGCAGTATAAAAATTATGAATCTACATTATAAATTTTATAAATCTACAGTATAGAAACTATGAATCTACAATATAGAAATTATAAATATACAGCGTGTCCACCATGCACATAGTGGACACGGGTCCATAGCATAACGCTCCGCAGGTTAGTTACATTTTAATTTCATTGGATTTTCTTTTTTAGGAATTTCATTGGATTATATACGTTATTACGTTAGTTTTATTTTTCATACACTAATTTTATTATAGTAACGTTAAAATGTTATTTTAATTACATACTAAGTTCATTTGAGAGTATATATTATTGTATAAATTATGTTTTTTTTTTTTTGTTTCATTTTGTACATACATTAGTTTTATCATAGTAACGTTAAAGTATTATTGCAATATACATATCTATAATGTGATCCGACATTAGTTTACAATAATGATTTAAAAAAAAAAAAACAAAAAAAAAAAAAACATATTGGACCATGGTCCACAGTATAATATCTACACATTGAGCTTTCATGTTATTTTACATCATCTTACCCAAAAATATTGTCAACACATATTTATTGATTTAGGGATATATCCTTATTTGTATTTATACTAATTATACTTTTATTATTTATCAACTAGCAAATTATACAAAAGTAAATGTTTTTAAGATTCTTACGATAATATAAAATACATTGGTATAACAATGTGCATTGATAACTTGTACATTTTAATTTCTTCCCCGTACAATGATAAGATATTTACAAATTTATCCTCTTTCTCGATTTTAATTTTTCCTTTTATATACAAGTTTTGATAACATAATATTCTTTTCGCTTATTCTTATTATTAACTTGACTTGTCACAACATATTTTTCAACAGTTTAGTAAATAATAATAATAATAATCCATCTATATAATTTTATGTGTCTAATTTGGTTAACAAGACTTGATTGAAAGAAAAGAGGGGACCTATCCCGGCGATGCACACAGATTGTGGTGTTCTGCGGAGTAGTATTCTTACCACGGCTCCAATTTATTGACACAAGTGTCAAATAGGCCCATCTACTACGGCAAAGTGTTCAATTTCCACCATGAACTAAATTAAGTGCCAAATAGGTCTATTTATCAGTTAAATTTGTTCAGTTGGCCTTTTTTACAAGTTACCAACAGGTTGCCTATTAATTACTAAAATCAATAATTAAAAAAATTAAACAAAAAAATTAAAAATTAAAAAAAAAATTAAAAAAAAAAAAAAGAGAGAGAGAACAACGCGGACAGCCGGTGGCTGCCATTTCAAAGACAGCCGGACAGCCATGGCTGTCTAATATGAGGTCCAGATCTGGACCTCATGTTTGAGGTCCAGATCTGGACCTCAAAGGCCGGGAACGAGGGCGGCGGCCATGGCCGCCGCCCTCATTCCATACGGCCATGGCCGTCTAAAAAAAAATTCGAATTTTTTTTAGACGGCCATGGTTGTCCGGGGACGGCCATGGCCGTCCATGGCCGTATGGAACGAGGGCGGCGGCCATGGCCGCCGCCCTCGTTCCCGGCCTTTGAGGTCCAGATCTGGACCTCATATTAGACAGCCACGGTTGTCTTTGAAATGGCAGCCACCGGCTGTCCGGCGAGGACAGCCGGTGGCTGTTCTCTCTTCTTTTTTTTTTTTTTAATTATTTATTTATTTTTTGAAAAAAATTAATTATTTATTTTAATAATTAAATAGGCAACCTGTTGGTAACCTGTAAAAAAGGTCAATTGAATGAATTTAGCTGGTAGATAGACTTATTTGACACTTAATTTAGTTCATGGTGGAAATTGAGCACTTCGTAGTAGTTAATGGGCCTATTTGACACTTGTGTCCCAATTTATTTTTATATTGGTTTTGCAACCATGGATTGCAAGCGTTTAATGAATTTTTTGTTTTTTTACTTGCTTTTTTTCGTTCCTAGAACTGCTAATGTTATTGCTCACACTTTAGCAAAATCTTGTCATACTTATGGACAGGATCTCTCTCTGTATTTGGGATATTATCCCACCTGACTTTATTCTGAATTTTCTGAATTAATATATGCCCAATTTTCCTTTTTAAAAAAAGTTAAAAGGAAAGAAAAATAAAAAATAAGAGATGCCATATTGCCATGCCATGTCATATCACAATAGATGATCTTTCATGATAAACATATTCTTATTTTATCAATCCTGCAGCGCATGCACCTCTCTCTCACTGCAACGGCGGAAGCATCTCCCCAAGCTTCCAACATGACGGTTTAGAGACTAAAGAGCTTGCCTGCTCATTTCAAGGTCAAGTTAGTCAATATATCCAAATTTAGATAAGAATAAAATGATTCATATGATATATTGTTATGTAATGTAAACATCACTGAAAACAACTGGACAACCTATTCCATAAATTCCAGGAAATTTGGTTCAAGTTCTTTATGAAGTTACACCTTTAACTTCCCTACTTCGAAAGGGACCATATTCCTCGTGAACAAATTAAAACATCGCCAATATTGGAAAAACCGTGCGCCAATATTAGAAAAACCGTGCGCCATTACAGATTGGAATACCAAATAGCCCCTTACGAATTCTCTCAAGCACTCAACTCTTTTATCTCGTTAAAAATCGACATTCACCACAAACCGAATCGTAAAGAGGGAGACAAAAAAAAAAAAAAAAAAAAAAAAAAAAAAAAAAAAAAAAGAGTAAAATACCAAAGTTGGAATAATTGCACACTTAATTGAAACTGTTTTAACCGACAAAAGTCTGCACATATCTAAAACAGTAGACGAGTATAAATAAATGGCATCCAGATAAGCTTCCATCACTGCCCGTTAAGCAACCAAGTAAACACAAAATTGCTCCCACTATAAGAATCATTGGTTGCAAGGCAGGGCACAATGGAATGAGCAACTAGAGCCATATAATAAAAAGTCTTACAAAGGGCTATATCAGAAAGTCTTAAAAGTTTATCAAAATTTAAATAACAAAAGCAGATAAAAAAAGATAGTCCTTTAAAGAAGAGATTCAATAGCAACACATGCTCACTTCTTCTTCTGAGCAGCCTTGGTAACCTTGGCACCAGTTGGGTCCTTCTTGTCAACATTCTTGATAACACCAACTGCAACCGTTTGTCTCATGTCCCTCACAGCAAAACGACCAAGTGGTGGGTACTCAGAGAAGGTTTCAACAACCATGGGCTTGGTGGGAAGCATCTTCACCATACCAGCATCACCATTCTTCAGGAACTTGGGCTCCTTCTCCAGCTCCTTACCAGACCGTCTATCAATCTTGGTCAAAAGCTCAGCAAACTTGACTGCAATGTGGGAGGTGTGGCAGTCCAGCACAGGAGCATATCCATTACCGATCTGTCCAGGGTGGTTCATGATGATGACCTGAGAGGTGAAGCTCGCAGCTCCTTTGGCTGGGTCATCCTTAGAGTTTGAGGCAACATAACCACGCTTAAGATCCTTCACAGCAACGTTCTTCACATTGAACCCAACATTGTCACCAGGAAGTGCCTCCTGAAGGGCTTCGTGGTGCATTTCAACAGACTTAACTTCAGTGGTAAGACCAGAAGGTCCAAATGTAACAACCATACCGGGCTTCAGGACACCAGTCTCCACACGACCCACAGGGACAGTACCAATACCACCAATCTTGTACACATCCTGAAGTGGAAGTCGGAGGGGCTTGTCAGATGGCCTCTTGGGCTCATGGATCAGGTCAAGTGCCTCAAGGAGGGTTGGTCCCTTGTACCAGTCAAGGTTGGTTGACCTCTCAATCATGTTGTCTCCCTCAAAACCAGAGATGGGAACAAATGGAATCTTGTCAGGGTTGTATCCCACCTTCTTCATGTAGGATGAGACTTCCTTCACAATTTCATCGTACCTGGCCTTCGAGTATTTGGGGGTAGTGGCATCCATCTGCAGAAACCAAAGTAAACAAGGTTAGATATCATCATTTAATAAAATGGATAGTAGATACATTTCATATGTTACCAACTCATAGATAATCTAAAGCTAACCTTGTTACAGCAGCAAATCATTTGCCGCACACCAAGGGTGAAAGCAAGCAAAGCATGCTCACGGGTCTGTCCATCCTTGGAAATACCAGCCTCAAAACCACCAGTGGTGGAGTCAATGATGAGGACAGCACAATCTGCCTGTGAGGTACCAGTAATCATGTTTTTGATAAAGTCACGATGTCCAGGGGCATCAATGACAGTGCAGTAGTACTTGGTGGTCTCAAATTTCCACAAGGCAATATCAATGGTGATACCACGTTCCCTCTCAGCTTTGAGCTTGTCAAGCACCCAGGCATACTTGAATGACCTCTTGTTCATTTCAGCAGCTTCTTTCTCAAACCTCTCAATAACACGCTTGTCAATTCCTCCAAGCTTGTAGATCAAGTGACCAGTAGTGGTCGACTTACCAGAGTCGACGTGGCCAATGACCACAATGTTAATGTGAACCTTCTCCTTACCCATTCTATTCAATAAAATCTGCGATAGTTAAAGAGAAAAACAAAAAACATTTTAATGGCTTATTCACATGAAATACAATTATACAAAATTGCAGGTTAGACAAAAAATAGTTTAAATAATACATTTAAATAACTTGAATTATCAAAAAATTCAAAGGATTCAAAGGATAAGTATCAAACCAACATTTTTAGCAATAACCCAACTAGAATGTGTGGAAACAAACAGTTAATAATATATCAAGAAAATTAGTTAAAAATCAAACTAGTTCTCAAATAAACAGTTTCAGTGAGGACTCATACAAAGAAGTGCTAGACAACTAACAAATTCAGTTCATCACAGGAAAATTAAGGAATATTCAAACTCTAATGGGGTCAAACAACAACAGCTTCAATTTTAGTAACAAAATTAGATTCTGTGCTCACTATCCAAATCACACGATACCAACACGATTGAAAGCTAGTCCGATATCCAATAAAACAGCTAAAGACATAATAAATCGATGAGATCCAAAAAGTTCGCCACATAATTGCATACAACCTCATACGATTACACTCAAACAGATATATAAATACAACTACATCCAAAACTAAGCAGATCTATCGATCAGTTCCAAAAGTAGCATGCAAATCAGCTCAAGCAGATTCTAATCACTACGATTTTGATCTCAAGTAAACAGCGAGCAAAGCAGCATCATAGATATTAATATTAATTCAGCATAAATCAAGTTATTTAAACATAGCGATATGCAAGTAGACCATATAAACATCATGAACAAGTATGATATGAAAAAAAAAACAAATAACTACAGAAAGGCATACCAATAACGAGATGCAGGGAAAGAGAGAGACGGAGAGGACTCTGGACTGGAGAACGCTGAGAGGAATAAGAGCGAGAGAGTGAAGAGAGGCGATGAGGAGCTTATAAATCAAGTTCAGGTGGTGTCTTGAGATTAGGGTTTTTCATGTGCCGTTGGATTTAGTGATCGACGGTTCAGAGTTGCGGTGCCTTTTTTGTCAGCCTAAGAATTTTCGTTTGTAATAAGTCCTAGTTTGAACAGTATCCTGCTTTTCATGCTCGTTTGTACTTCCTTTATAAAAATATTATTTTAGGGGCATTTGATTGGATATTTGTATACTTTATTAATTATTATTATAAGATGATATTGAAGAGTTGGACTCACAATTTTGGAAGAAAAAAGGAGAACTATTTTAGATGCCCTAATAAGGGCAAATTATTCTGTGAACCATGGTCCACACGAAGCGTTATGCTGTGCAACCGTGTGTATCATGTCTGGTGTACATGGTTGCAAAAACGACGTCGTTTTGACGTTTAACTTAAAAAAAGAAAAAATCAATTTCGATTGCCGTTAAAGGCGTTATGTTGTGCATAATTTGAACTATAAATCTATAACTTCATAACTATACATTTAGAATTGCATAACTACACATCCATAACTTCATAACTACACATTCATAACTTCATAACTTCATAACTATACATTCATAATTGCATAACTACACATCCATAACTTCATAACTATACATTCAGAATTGCATAACTACACATCCATAACTTCGTAACTATACATTCAGAATTGCTTAACTACACATCCATAACTTCATAATTATACATTCAGAATTGTATAACTACACATCCATAACTTCATAACTATACATTCATAATTGCATAAGTACACATCCATAACTTCATAACTATACATTTAAAATTGCATAACTACACATCCATAACTTCATAACTATATATTCAGAATTGAATGCATAACTACACATCTATAATTTCATAACTATACATTTAGAATGTGAAATTATAAAATTATGAACATGTGTTTACGTAACTAACGCCAATCGAAAATGATTTTTTAAAAAAAAAAATAAAACGACGTTATTTTTGTAATATGGTGCACACGGTTGCACAGTATAATTTGTCGGTCCACACAATGTTGTGTGTATCATAACAAAAAGTACATTTTTAATATACTAAAGCCCCACCCCATAACAAAACTTGATATTATATATATATATATATATATATATATATATATATATATATATATATATGGAAGTAAAAGTGTCATACCCTCACTAAACCCTAAATCCTTGAACCAAACACCCCCTATAGTAAATTCAGACTAGGTTTAGACCATACTACAACATGAATTAAGAAAAACTTAAAATATCGAAGTTGTTGAGCAATTTCATAAATTTTCAAAAGTTTTATTTTCCATAGAGAACAGTCTCTGTAAAGAATAAATCTCTCCTTCCCACAACCCTTATCTCCATAGTGACCTATACCATTGTATTTTATGCATGCAGAAATAACTTAGCTTCCAATCGTTATGCTGTGGAACCGTGTCCACCTTGCAACGTGGACACGGTTATATGTTCATAATTACTGAACTATATGTTCATAATTATAAAGTTATATATTCATAATTATTGAACTCTATATTCACAATTACAGAACTCTATATTTATAATTACTGAACTATATGTTCATAATTATAAAGCTATATATTCATAATTTTTGAACATCATATTCACAATTATTGAATCTTTTTATTCATAATTACAAAATTATGTGTTCATAATTATAGAATACTATATATTTATAATTATAAACAATTTTAGAATCTCTACTGAGACTTAAACTCACAACTTTTCAAATGAAAGTCTAACCCAAGTACCATTAGACCATATAGTCTTAGTGTCCACCTCCACAACATAATTTGTTATCTAGCTTCCAAATGGGTTATTGATTTTTTTTTTAAAGGGTTATTGAATTTTTTTTAAAGGGTTATTGAATAATGGGTTTGGAAGCCCAACAAGTTTGTATTGGACGTTGTTTTCTTTAACCCATCAAACTACAACGTTGTCTAAATAAATTGTATCCTATGGTACGGTGTAAGATTTTGGAAAGTAATAACTTCTTTATTATATTTTGAAAGCGCTTTCATATCGAAAAATTTTCAAAAATTTATTGGACATGTTTCAAGCCATTTCCATCTAATAAAGTTCCTTAGAATTTTAGTTAAAATTTTAAATCTAATTCGATACTGGGGGCAGCCCACTTTGATTTGGTTGATACGTTTCATTTTAAAATTAATGTTATATATTTTCAATTTTAAAAAATTAGCACTTTTATATTAATAATAATAAATATAAATTTAAGATATCATTTAATCAATGCAACTCTTTAATTTTAAATTTCAACTCTAAAACATGCGGGGCTTAACTTTTTTTGAATGCTACTGACTCTATTACATTGTAGTATATGTTCAAACATGCGGGTTTAAAAGTCACCCTACACCACAAATCTTGCTCTAGTGGTAGGAGCGCTATACTCTGCATCCGTATGAACCATGCATGGTGCATTCGAATGCAAAAACGACGTCGTTTTGGCGTCTAACTTTAAAAAAAAATATCAGAATTGCATAACTACACATCCATAATTTCACTACACATCCATAATTGCATAACTACACTTCCAAAATTGCATACACTTCCAGAATTGCATAACTACACATCTAGAATTGCATAAATATACTTCCATAATTGCATAACTATAATTCCATAATTGCATAACTACACATCCATAACTTCATAACTACACATCCAGAATTGCATAACTACACATCCAGAATTGCATAACTATACTTCCATAATTGCATAACTATAATTCCAGAATTGCATAACTACACATCCATAACTTCATAACTACACATCCAGAATTGCATAACTACACTTCCAGAATTGCATAACTACACTTCCATAATTTCATAACTAAAAAATTCAAAATGAATGAACTAAAAATGAATAACATCATGTTGTTGTTGAGAATCGAAACTAATTTTTTTTTTTTTTTTAAGTAAGGCACGCATTTTATACAAAACGACGTTTTTTTTTTTGCATCTGTATGCACCATGCAGGGTGCATACGGATGCATAGCATAATTTGCCCTAATGGTAGGAGATGTTTAATTCCCACTAAAAACATGATTGACCCAAAGCCAAGAAAAAACAAAGTTATCCCACTTGGCTTTTGGGCTAGCCAATTTGGTCTATCATGCTTTATACTAAACAAATTAAAATTTTTAAGGTTAACCAAATTAATTTATTAAAATTTTACTCCAAAAGTTTATTATCTACTCCTAAGCACAATGATTCCATGCTCTAGATGTGTTAATTACTAAAATTACAAATTTCTCATCTACCAACTATTGTGAGTTGTAAAATAAAATTTTTATTCTTATCATGTTTAGTCACGTAGATAGCAAATTATAGTTGTGTGGACCACAGTTCAAAATGACGTCATTTTGATGTTTAAAAAAAAATTAAAAAATTGTTCCGCGTGTGTTAGAATAATGAACATTTTGGAGTAAGATAATGTATTTTATGAGTTAGAATAATGTACTTTATATGTGTTAAAATAATGAAATTTCTGAAGTAAGATAATGTATTTTATGAATTATATCGAATAATGTATTTTATGTATTTTTGGACCGTGGTCCACTAATGATTGCAATCATGCTGGCAATGGTGGTTACCTGGTTATAATTATGACCAATAATCCACAATTATGAAGTATAAGGCCAACTCCAGCGGAGCGGCAAAATGCCCACCAACTCCAAAATGGCGCCCATTTTGGCGCTGAACCTTCTCCAGTGAAGGCGCCAAAGTGGGCTCCATTTTGGTGATTGTCTATAGTGCAGCGCCATACTTGGCGCTGCACTGTAGCTTTACGCCAAAATAGTGTAAACTATTTTATTCCAACTTTGCCCATTGTTTTTTTATTAATTCATTTTGTATCCCTATTTTGTTTTTATGGATTTACATATTTTGTTAAATACATAAACATAAAATTTGAATAATTAAAAATAAATTATATCATTTGAAAGATTGCATCAAGACGATTAAAACAAGCCTAATATTATATATAGATTAATTAAAAATTAAAGTACACAAAACATAATTTTCATAAAATTAAATTGAATACATCCGAAATTATAATATATTTTGTTAAATACATAAGCATAAAAGCCTAATATTATATATAGATTAATTAAAATTAAAGTACATCAAACATAATTTTTATAAAATTAAACTGATTAAGATGGTTGAGATTTAATCCAACGGTTGAAAACAAATTATTATTAAAGTAAAAAATTAAAGTTTTAATTTATGAGAAAAAATAAATTATTTTAGTGTAGAAATAGAATTTGGTGTAATGGGTTGGAGGTGAATAAAATTTGGTGTAAGAATATGTTGTGAATATTTTTTTTGATGTAAAATTTAGTGCAGAATTTGGTGTAATGGGTTGGAGATGACTTAAAATAATAAGTTTAAGTTGTTTCACACTTTCACCAAAGGGACACCACATATTATCCTTCCCCTACACAGTCAACTATAAAATTTCAAGTGCAGTGTAAAAGGACTAATGCATGCATGGAAATTAAAGCTCAATAATAAGGACCCTTCAATTTATCTTACTTTATACTACTCCGTACATAATAAAGCAATAAGTGTCAGAAATGAGTGATTATCGAGTGGTTAAGTAATGAATCTTGTACTAAAAGATCACGAGTTTAGTTCTTGCAAATACTCTTTAGGTTGAACCAGTTGTATATGATCTTGTAAGTTATTACAAGTTTACCCAATGCACATCATTAGTAGAATTTTGCGAGCTATTATATAAAAGTGGTGTGTACACAATATATACCTTGGGATAATGATTGTGACTTAATTTCCCCTTGCCATCCCAAAAAGTAATAAGTGTTAAAACAAATTCTTTTAATTTAATTTCAATATAATTAGTGAATATCGAGTTTATAATATTAAAAAATCTTGAATTGAACATGCTAAATCTACATCCATCATTGATCATTGTATAATAAGTGTGTGTATATATATATATATATATATATATATATATATATATATATACACACACACATAACAACAATATGAATTGTCAATTTTTGTTGTTTGAAATGCATACTTTTTCATTTGTTTTGTTGTCCCATTATGTATATGATCAAACAAGAGATATTCGGTTAGACCGAAACAATCGACACCTCAATCTAATATTACTTGCCGACAAATAATGCTGCGGCACCTAAAGTAGGAAAAATTAGCATATATAAATTGGTATTTAAAGTGATCCCTAGAATAAGAAATGTGAGTTGAATTAGTAATAATTCCTTATAAACACATTGTGTTGGGCAAAATGTTTTAAAACTTTTCACACTTCAAATTTCTGCAAATTTTCATTGCTATGGAACTCTTACTATGCCCTCTAAATTTATGCCAATACTTCGCTCATATAGTGATTCGAAGTGTTCTTTTTATATATTCAAGTTTAATTTGTCATACAATTTATTTGAGTGCTTAAATAAATTGTAGCAATCTATTGTATCTTAAGAAATCGATGTTTCAATGCTCTTAGAACTCTTAAAAAAGTGGTTCAATTTTTTAAAAAAAGTGTAAATGTTACGTGTTTTGGATTAATCCATCGTCATTGAATTATTTGAAAATATTTTTGAGATAGGATTCCCTTATGGACGTATTGCAGAATACAACCAAATCACGTGAGAAGGACATACGAATCATTTCTCTTTATAAAGTTTCGCGCGCGCACACACACATATATATATGAGATGGTTCACGTGTGAAACTTCTCCCAGGTGAAAAATATGGTGAGATCTAAGCCGTTGATCTAATCTAGATCAACGGTTCAAATTGAAGGAATTTTTTTTTAAATGCGCTTCCTGGCAACATGGATGCAAATGATCAAGTGTCTCGAACTGACGCACCTTAAGCTATAAACGTACGCACCTTAAGAGTTAAACCGATGCACCTTAAACTAGAAAGTGACACATCTTAAGCTTTAAATATACGCACTTTAAACTATAAAATTACGCACCTTAACCTATAAATTACGCACATTAAACTATAAACTTACACACCTTAAACTTTAAACATACACACCTTAAAACAATCTATATATTTACAAACTATCTAACAAACTGCTGGATTCAAACATAATTATATTTGATATGACTATTAGCAAATGGGATGTTCTTTGATCCAAGATTTTTCACAAGAAGGTTGAACAATTTGGCATCAATCAATGATTCCCCCCATGGTCCCATGGGAGAGTTACAAGCTAAGTGTCGGGACAAATGATTAAGTAGTGTAGGTAACTAAAACGCGTTTTAAGGGAGACACAAGACATAATTAGTACTCATAAAGAAAACATCTAAAGCTAAACAAAAAAGGAAGGTGAAAATAAATAATTAATCTGCAGGGTCAATGATCTTGGTTCTTTTGTTGCTCGAATGATGCTTTCATACATCTATCGAAAGGTATGTAAATTGACTTTTATGGTTGCCGTCAAAAGAAAAACAAAATGAAATGCAAATTTTCAGTACACAATTTCAAACTGCTTGCCAATTTTGAAAGGTGACAAATACAAACAGGTTGACATTTACTTGATATTCAATAAAAATAATTTTTAGAGATGCATGGCTATCAAAAAATGTTAAATTTTGTAATATGTTAGTTGAATAATGTATTTTCACTTGACTGCAACTTTGAAAATTTAAATTGATTGTGAAAGTATATATTTATTATTTTATACTAGTCTTTTCTATTCGTAGTGTGTGTAAAAATAAATGTCGAATACTAGTATATATTCAATGTTAAAATCATAGTTATATTGAAATGCTTTTGTTTTTTTCTTTAAAGGAAAAAATGTAATTTATGCCCCTAAAAAAATATGTCAATTATCAATGTCACCCTTGAATTATTAGTGGTGTAAATATTGTCCCTCAATTTTCAAAACGTGACATATATTGCCTCTCCCCTAATAGGACGAAGGAGAAACATTATTGTCGGTGGAAGGAGAACAAACAAAGAAAGAAAAATGGAGGAAAGAAACGTGGTATTCGAACATGGAAAATAGCATGTAAACCACATTTACACCATTAATAATTCAAGAGAGAGCTAATATATGCCACGTTTTAAAAATTGAGGGGCAACATTTATATCACTAAAAATACATAGTTGCAGAATTTGTATATTATTAAAAAGTATAGCTGATAATTTGTGTAATAATTATGTTATGATTAATAATTGCTAAAGCAATACTTTTAGAATGGTAGCATTTAATATATACAAATGAAAGTTTAACGATGTAAGGATAATTTTATTTAGGGTGTGTTTGGAAATCCGGAAAATGATTTCTGGAAATCATTTTTCGGATTTTTGGTGTTTGGCTAGGTTGGAAAATGAGAAGTCAAAGGAAAATGAGACATGGTCAATGGAAAATGAGCTCAATTTTCGGGAAAATGACTTCCCCTTTTTTTTTTTTTAGGGGAAGTCATTTTCCGGAAGACTTCTTTGGCCTACAACAACAACCACCTTCGTCTGTCTACAACAACAACCACCTTCGTCTGTCTACAACAACAACCACCTTTGTCTCTGTCTACAACAACAACTAACACTGTGGATTCCCCCAATTCTCAAACCCAACCCTATATCCATTTGGCAACCATGGCGGACACCAGATAACAATCCTCTCTGGTTTCCGCCAGAAACCAGAGAGAACGGCGGAACCAGAGAGGGTTTATGTATTTTTTTTTGTTATTTTTTTAATTTTTTAATAAATAATAATATTTGATTTAAAAATAAATATTATTATTTATAATATTATTGTAAATTTAATATATTTTAAACAAAATAATTAATTATATAAAATGTTTAATTATACAATTCTACATCATTTTCCAGAAAATGAGCCAAACACACAAAGACAGTTTTCTGTTGTGCAGCCAAACACGAGAAAGGAAAACGTTTTCCGAAAAATAACTCATTTTCCAGAAAACATTTTTCTGCTTTCCAAACGAACCCTTAATATAAAAATGATAGTACAATATAATATTAATTCAACTCAATAAACATAGAAATACGAACATAAACTAGAGTAACTGAATGAACTCTTATATATATATATATATATATATATATATATATATATATATATATATATATATATAAAAGGATTGCACCCCAATCTCGAGAGCCCCATCTTTATAAAGATTAGGTGGAGGAGGTTAATCGCATAGTGTGTCTTAAGTCTTAACTGGCATTTAGGAGCCTAAGAGCATCCACTATAGAGAAGATTTAGGGGGCGTTTGGTTCACGGATCTTGGATTACCCCATGTAATAAGATTACCTCCAGGAAGGTAATGTGAGATTACCGGAATGTAAGATTACCTTATATGTTTGGTTTGGATTGTGGAATATAATATTGCCGTGTTTGGTTATGGGTTATATTTTAGGTTATATGAATCAATTTACAATAATGTCCTCAATAATATATATATATATATATATATATATATATATATATATATATATATATATATATATATATATATATATATTATTTATGTGTGTGTATTTATTTTATTTATTTATATGTATGAATGTATATCAATGTTCAAATATTAAAAAACTAAATATATAAATATACACATGTATATTTTATAGTATAATAATAATAATAATAATAATAATAATAATAATAATAATAATAATAATATTATTATTATTATTATTATTATTATTATTATAAGGATAAGGATTAGTTAACAAGGGCAAAGTTGGAATAATCCAAGGTAATCTAAGATTACCTAAAAAAATGGAGGTAATCACATTACCTTGAAACATTACCGCCACATCAGCTTTCAGGTAATATAACATTACCAGGTAATCTCATAACTTGAACCAAACAAGGTAATATAACATTACCAGACTCAGATTACCTAGGTAATCAAAGATGACCTGAACCAAACGTCGCCTTAGGAGTTAATGTCAGAACTAATTCTCCCAAGTGAAGATCAAAGCTGATGTGGGAATAGAATAATTCAAAAAGAATCCTCTGGTAAGGGGTTGAGATATTTCTCTTCCCAAGGTTTTTAACATTTAATTTGTTTATTTTTATTAAATGGTGGGTCCATAAAAACTGAGAAATAACTCAAAACTGATGTGGAAAAGAGTTTTTTTGTGATTGAAGGAGATAGTGGAGGATGAGGTGGATGCTGGAACCCACAAATAATTGAGAAATAACCTCAATTGATAAGGATGCTCTAAGTGCTTGTACATTAGTGCCTTAACTTAGCTTGTAGCTTGTCGGTGTTAGTAAATCTTTTTTTTTTTGAATGCGTCGGTGTTAGTAAATCTAAGTTATCAATTTCTTTTAATTTAATTTGATCAGCTAGTCGAACTGGTGCTCTACAGCACCATCATGGGTGTGTATGCATGTTATAGTTCATTGTGGACTATTAGTGACAAATATAAACAAGTGGGAAAGAAGATAGTATGTCGGCTATGAAAAAATAGTGATTAAAAATCAAAGCTGCATGTTACTCCACAATAAGTTCACATGAAGTTGCTAACAATCGGTATTGAAAGAGTTTTCCAAATAAAATAAAGTAACAAACAATCCTTGCTTAACCGAGTAATATATTGTAAGGTTCAAAGTTCAACTTCAAATTTAAGTGTCTTATTAATCTTTTCAATATGAGCCATCAGCTATATATATATATATAGACAATTTAAATCAATTCACTTCATTGTGGTCTATTGTTGTTAGGATAACAAGACGAGCTTCACCCGAAATGTACCTTCGAGTAGCGGCTGATGATATTTGCATAAATGTTACACTAAAAATGCTTCCCAAATAAAACACAATTGACAATTTTAATATTGATGATAAGATGGTAAAGATGATGGCAGGTGGTTAGTTAGCTAAGGGGGTGAGAGAACATGGGTTGAAAGGGAATCCACATGGAACTTATGAGTAATTAAAGAAGACATCCATACATTAGGTAACAAAGAGTAGGTTGTTGTTTATTATATAATGGAAAGATATGATACATTAGATAGGATAACCCATCATTGATTTGCTTCGACATAATCAATGAAAGCAACCTAATTTATTAACTAATAACGTTTTACTATTTGGTATTCATGATTCCTCTACTACAATAAATATGTTACAAAATTATTATTAATTATCAAAAAAAAAATTACTATTCCAGTGACGAAAGAAACCCGCAACTATTATTCGATACTGTATACTGGTAAACTAGCTGGATTGAAGTTAGATTAACTTTAGAGGTGTGTGTATTTCATGTCCACATAGTCTGCAGCTCCCAGCTGAAGGAATGGCCGAAGTTGTTGTTGTTGTCGTCGAGGGAGCTTAAGGTACTAAGGAGACCATGATGTTGGGCGGTTTCTGTCGCCGCCGTGACGGCGCCGAAGCTGTCGAAACCGGATTGGTGGTGAAGCGGCAGCGGCGGCGGCGGCGGCATTTCCATGCAAACGCGGGCCATGAGGTGGTTGGCTACTTGCGCTTGCAGCTGGAATTGCATGTTGAGCAGCTCCGCCTGCGTCTGCGCTAGCTGCGCCTGGAGCTCGCTCACTTGCTTCTGCAGGTGACAGATCGCGCCGGCGCTGCCGTAGACCGGGTCCCGCAGCCGCGCGTTCGCCTCGTACACCATGCTGCTCACGGCGTCCGCCCTTTGAGACTCCGGCAGTTCCTGATGAGAATTCAAACGCGAAACTGGTCAATACATATATACTTCCATATATACCTTCTAGACTTGGTTTGACATTACGTCGAGCAGTTGGTGCGCAGCGCATTAAGTTTGACAAGACGTTGATTAACGAGTTTAGATAAAGTCAATTTATAGCTAATGACAAATGTAGTCATGCATGTGCATAAACAGTTTGATTAATCCTAATATCAACATCCTTAATAGTAATAATCAAAGATGATTAAATTGGTGGTCGATCAGAATATTAGTTTGATAATTACAAGATTTCAAGTTAGACTTTTAATGAGAGCGACTTACTGACTTTCTTAGCTGAACTGATTAGATAATTACAGTCAAATCTACAATGCGAGATTTATTTAATGCACAGATATGAATTATTACAAATAATTAGGCATTGAATGTGGTGTAGTACCTGCAAAAATTTGATAATATTGCTAGCGCCGAACACACGATGAGCGGTGGTGAACTTGAGGGGATCAGTGGGAGGAAAATAGGGTGCCAAGACACATTTCTCGGCGCATCTCCGCCGCAGGATCTTACACGCGGCGCAAGGGCTCACCACCAGAGATGGCGGCGGCGGAGGGGAAGAAGAGGAGGACGGCGAAACGGAGCGAGATGACGGTGGAGTAACGGTCGTCTCACATGATGACTCCATTTCCCTTTATCAAGTGAAGAGAAATATTAGAGAGAGAGAGAGGCTTTAGAAGAGAAAATATGGATATAAAATATGGCTAAGGCATTCATATATATATATTATATATACGTGAAGGGAGAGAATGGAAGTCACTGCTTTTGGCGTATTGTTACCGACTTACCCGTTAGTCGTTAACGCTATGAGAAAACTCCACAACTTTTGTCGACAAAAGACTAAGGATGATTAAGGACAAATTAGAATTGTCGTCGGGAAATTAATCGAACTTAATGGGAGATTACCCAATCAAATTTCACCTGCTGTACTGTACAAGGACAAAGAGGAATTCAAATTGCACTTTCTATAGTCCAAAACAAAATGAGATCTGATAATAAAAACATCTGTGCGTGTGCCACTTTTTAATAATTTTCATTTATAATATATAGTAACCATCCAGCTAAATACAATATCTCAACAAATTAAAACTAGATTAAATATCATCTTATGATCGAATTAAAATTATTTTACTTGAGACATGAAATATTTAATCTCAAATCAAAGAGTCACACTTGTGTTAGACTGCCTCACGGATCCTTATCTGTGAGATGAGTCGGATCGGTCAACATACAAATTAATACTTATATTAACAAATGTAATACTAAATCATGAATAAAATGTTTGTTATTTATAAGAAAAAACGTAATACTTTTGATAATAAATATAATACTTTTACATTTTTAATGTAAAAGTATTTTTTTAAAAATAAAAAAAAACATTATATTTTTCTTTACTGAAATTTCATTCAGATTGCATTATTATGTCTAGAATTGGAAAAATGGTCAAATAGGCACCTGAACATTATTTAAGAAGTTAATTAGACCCTTAAATTTTCAAAGGTTGCAATTAAACCCTTAAAGTCTTAAACATATTATTTTAGATCATTGAGGCACAAAAACCAATTGGTGACCTATAATTATAGGTCACTAAGGTTCCGACGAACTTTCGATGAGATTTCGATCATATTTTGGGCTCATCGAAACAGTCACTGGAGAGTGGAGAAGGCGACCCTCCTTCACTGACGAAGGCAACCAAACGACACCGGCAACCCTTTCGCTAGTGTTTTTTATCGGAATATGGTCAAAATTTTGCCAGAACCTTAGTAACCTTTAATTACATGTCACCAACTGATTTTTGGACCTTAATATTCTAAAATAATATGTTTAAGGAATTAATTGCAACCTTTAAAATTTTAAGGGTTTAATTGATTTCTTAAGTGATATTTACCTTTTCCTCTAGAATTTGATGTATATATCTGCCGCAAATCTATATTAGCCTACCCTACATGTGTATAACATGCGCAAATCATGGTTTTGCCTCCTAACCACCGGGACATCGTTCGAGGACCTTCATAATTATTCAAAACAAAATCTCAATAAAGATCATTAAAAAACAGAAAAACATAAACATAAATCTAGCAAATAGAGATTTTAGGCAGGTGGAAGGAGAAAGCTAACATGCGATGTTTTCTACATATTTTGGCATTCTCATCGTGCTTTATTGCCGAAACGTATTTAGACCAAAGTCACTGTTTAAAGTCAAGTAGACTCGTCAAGTCTACATATATATGCTACTCCAATCTGCATTCTTTTCCCTAGCTTTAGTCATTGGTTTTAATTTGCGAGTGAAATACGTAAGACAACCAAAAAAAAAAAAAATCAAAAAAAAAATCACATACTTGTAAGTATTAAATTAGTCAATTATTTAAAATTTTCTATTTTCATCACCGTACTGTAATTTGAAAAATGTTCGAGACATTCTCCGCAGGGGCGGAGCCAGGATTGAATAGTGCGAGGGGCCAACTACGGTTGAAATACTAAATCAAATACATTGATATCCAGTTAACATATTTAAAAATAATTATTACATTACAAATTTAATAAAGTTTAGAATAAATAATTTATAATTGAATCTATATTAAATTATTTTGTAATATGCTTTTCAATGCACATTGCTTTGTACGGTTGAAAAAATAAAAACATTCACGCATGCTTTAAAAAGACCACTGATTATTCTTGAAAACTACCATCTTCACAACATAACATAATAGCAATTATTTTCTTAAATACATATATTACACAATTTTTACATTATTATGCATGTTAAATTAAATACAACATTTATCACGTAACCACAAATCTGCATAATTAAACAAACAAATGCACCTTCATATCCATTATTTAGAATAAAACAAAATCACTATTTAAAATAAACAATAGAATATGAAACAAAAATTAACCAAACATGTAGTTAGAAAAAAAAAACTTGAAAAATATGCATAGATTTTAATGACAAATTATCTTGTTATAGCGTATATACCGCATATATGTATGGTTCTAGAGAGAGAAACTAGTAGGTAGGTTAAACGATGTTTAATTTCAATGTGAGTCAACAATATAGTGAATACATAATTTGATATTGGAGACAACAGAAGATGTTGAGAAAATGAAGAAGTTTATAACTTAACTTGTAGGATTAATTTAAGTGGGAGGGGGGCCAAATATTTTGAAGAAACAACCAAAATTTAATATTCTATATAATATTTTTTAAAAAATTTAATATTATATTTAATATTTAAAAAAAAAGGGGGGGAGGCCCCCTTGGCATACCTTTGCCTCCGCCCTGATTCTCCGAGTCTTATGCAAATGATATATTCTTTAAGCTAACTCATTTTTGAAGTTAATGATTTTATTTTTTTGAGTGACAATATGACTTTTCTTATTATTTTATATTTTTACATACAAGTGAAAAGAGGCAACTTAAAATCTACATAAATCTAGGTCAAGTAAGACAATATTTTCTAGTAGCTTAGTAAACTTATAACACTCTTAGGGAGAGATTCAAATATATAGAGACCAAGTTGATAAGTTACAAAATGAGTACTAATATCCTTGATATTAATTTTCATGGATCTAATGAGAACTAAATCAAAATGTATAATTCTTTTTCCACTACATTTATTTTTATGCAACATTTTAAAGCATTGACCGATTGGTATTGGTATTGTCAAACACTCATGTGTAAATGTGTAACGAACGAGTTTTATTGAGCATCTCCAACATGTAGGCAAAACGCCAATTTCTAATGCCAAATCACTATCGCAACAATTTTGACAGCTCCAATGTGCTGCTCCATCGCGGCATATCGCCAAATAATTTGGCGTTGATGAACAGTGCTGCGCCATATATGGTGCAGCACTGTTCATCCACGCCATTTTCTAAAAATTTATTTAATTCCCGTTTTGCCCCTGCTTTAATTTGTTAATTCCTTTTGTATATTTTATTTTGTTTTTATGTATTTATATATTTTGTTAAATACTTAAATATAAATATTATATTATTATAAATAAATTATATCATTTGAAAGATCTCATCAAGACGATTAAAACAAGACTAACATTGAATATAATTTAATTAAAAATTAAAATAAATAAAACATAACAACAACATAAAAATATTTTTACTAAGAATTTATTATTTACATCACAAATTATATTTTGTATTAAACAAATTAAATTTGAATTAATAAAAATTTAATACTAGGAAAATTATATTATTTTAGTGTTGAATAACATTTGATGTGACATTTGGTGGAAATTTTGGTGTTTTAGTATTAATGGGTCGAAGATGAATAAAATTTGGTGTAGAGATTATTCTCTTTGATGTGACATTTAAGAGAGATTTTTGGTGTTTTAGTGTGAAGTTTAAGTTGGAGATGCTCTTAGACACTACTAGCACTGGTGCGGCCAATAGTACATGACACAACACATGCACTACATACACCTATGTATAGCAGTTGTATGTACTATATGTACAATACATCTCCTTGAGAGTTGTCTATTGATTTTTTTGGTTTGAACTGGTTTCAACCTAAATTGGTTTACCTACTTATAGTCATTTGTCAGTTAGAGTCATAATGCGAGCTTTACTTAAAGTACACATTTAATTTGAGTAATAATTGTGTACTTTTTTTTTTATATATAAAAAGTTAATTACTTTTTTTTTGGTCATACATTTATAAGTGGCCGTTTACTTAGTTTTTGTTTTTTTTTTTGTTTTTTTTTTTATTTTTTTTTTATCAAAACATTATCTTTTGGTTCTAGTATTATTTTGACATGACCATTTTTTGTCATCCGTCAACAAAATCGTATAAAAACAGTTAAATACAAGGACATTTTGATTTTTTTTTTTTTTAAAAAGTGGGTTGATGACCCGCTATATTTTTATTTATTTTTTAAATCCATAATTAAAGACCAAAATACCATTGTATTTTTTTTTTTGAATGCAAATACCATTGTATTTAATGACATTATTTTTAAACTATTTTGTTGGTGGAGGACCAAAAATAGTGATACCACAATAATACTAAGACCAAAGAGGAATGTTTTTTGAAAAAAATATTAAAAGTGGTCTGTCACCTATAAAAAGAAGAATGTTTTTTTTAGCCCGCATGGGCAGCTCGACTGGTCATAAAGGTGAAAGTTGGAAAGAATGATCAGGGATCGAGTTTCACCCGCGGCAGTGTGGGAGCAACCTGTGAGGGGGACTACTTGTGCGCAGTAAGCAAATGTCTAGCATCTTTTCAGTTCAGTACAGTATGTGCCTCTGTGGTTCCCAGATGCTTTGCCGGGTTGGGTTCAACCTTTTGGAAAGAAGAATGTTTTTTTTTTTTTTTTACTTAAAAAAAAAAAACCCTTTTTTTTGGGGGGGTAAATCAAGGAGATCAATGCATCTTAGAGGTGAAACTTTGGAAGAATGACCAGGGATCGAGTCTCACTAGCGGCAGTGAGCACCGGTCTAGCCTCTATGGTTCATGTTCAGTTGAGTCACCATGATTTATATCCTCCTAAATGCTCTATCGGGCCGGGGTATGGGGACCCTTAGGGTTGGGGTTCAACCTTTGGAAGAATGCATCTATTTCCTTCCTAACCTGCGTGCGGGATATAATATCTTTATATAGACTCATTGATCATATCATTTTCCTCCAATTCAATCAGCTAGGAGATAAGATTATTAGGCTAAGCTAGTCAAGAAA